CATCTTGGTGAAATGGTTCAAAATTGTTTTGTGACTGAAAAGATCTTGAAGGAACATAACCTGACTGAGCTGAGGCTGAAAACAACAATGGACAGAGAAGAGTACAATGCAACAAAAGTTTACTTTGAGAGAGTTGCACTTAGAGGTTAGTCAACAGAAAGTTACATAGATGACTTATCTTTTCAAAAATAGTTGATAGGTTTTTGTACACAACCCACTACTCTTTCGCAATGGAGTACCATAGGGTTTTAAGATTTATGCAAAGTTTCTGACCAGGACAGAACTTGTTGTAACATTGAATAAGCTTGTGTTGGCTATTTAAGTCCTGACAATGCTAGAAGTGATTTGTTTACAAGATATTGGTCAGCCTCAGTCTAAAGTTTCACTATGAGTTGGTTGAATTCTCTTCATTTTAACAAATTTAAACAGTTTATGCTTAGTGATTTTAGAATGTGCTTTAATTCTTACACAATATTGGTGTGTATTTCTTTTATCTTATTCAATTTTTTTGTTTCAAGCATAATAATATTCATATTTTTTATTATCAGACTAGGCATAACAATATTCACATTTTTTTATTATCAGACCTTTGTAGCTTGTACATGTACTGTATGTTTTGTTTACCCATTTCAGGTCTTGTGATATTTACTCTAGAGAACTTACTCTTTCCTCTCTGGTCCCGTTTTTTAATGAATATGGATTTCAGTAGTCGATCACATTTGCCATCCATAGGAACTTTTTTCTTCAAACAAGGAGTTATTTTAAGTAAGAGAAGGGAACTAATTACAGAATCTGATTTGAAAATTTATGACATGAGGATCTTACTTGATTTTACCAATATCAAATTTTGAATTTGTTAAGTCTTTGAGAACTTCTTTTACATGAGAAATTCAGTATATTCTAATGATATATGTGGTTCCTCCACTATCCCTAACATAATTGATCATGATCTACTTGCCACTGTATGCTGTTGGCAATCATTGCTAATTTATTTTGGTTCATGTATGTTTTTCAGAAATTAGAGAAACTATACCAGAGAGGGATGAGAGATCAGCATCTGTCAGTGCAGATCAGCCTTGCAAGGAACTCAAGGAAGAGTTGACTACTGATGACTACAGTAAAGGTAAATTGTGAGGGCATGAGGTGAATCATCCAATTCAAATTCCCTTTCACCTTACTCAGTATACCTTTGTTGTCACTTTGAGTTGGTTGAATTCTCTTCATTTGTTTATTTTTTTTTCAATAAACCTGGCACCAGCAACCTGTCACCACTATGTATAAAGTGCTCATTTTCTTTGGGTTTTGTTTTACTTTATTTGTAATTATTCATAAACTTAATATGGAAAATGGGTGAGCAAATAGTTTTAGTCAGCCATAATTTGTGATTGAGGGTTTATGAACAAAGGAATTATGTATATGGTGACTTTGAAGAAAAATTAGATCTTTGTTATACAGTCAACCCTTGATTATCTGGATTTTTTTATTTTCCACCCTTGCCTCTCTGGTCCAATTTTTTGTAATATCATAAATAAATCATATTCAAGATCCATCACAACATTTTGCACATGTAGCTAAACTCCCTTTAAACTGAATTTTTTTTGCTTTTCAAAGCTGTTGAATGTTTTAAGAAGTGATTAACATGGTTGGTAAGACAAAAAACAGAATTGACAGTATTCAACTAACTTGGTAACTTCAAAAAATGATGAAATTTAGCAAAGCGCACATGCTGTAGCAACTTGAGACAAACTAAATTATGCTAGCATTTCAGGTTGGTGTAAAACATTGGTTAGCTTGTAAATACCTTTGGTAAATACTTTTAACAACTTGAAACAGTTTATGCACAATGATTTTAGAATGAGCAAGTCCAGGCAAGCTTCAGGCAAGCTTCAAATGAAAAGGTTAAACGAAGTTCGTCCTCCGCAGCCACTCAATCTGTGAAGCGCCGTATAGATAAATTTCATCCCAACTCCTACAACGCCATTGGCTGGAAATACAGCGCTTTTTCAAAACTTTCCACCTTTTTTTTTTCGCTATTAAAGAACAGCTGCATGAAGCGTGCATATAATAAATATTCTGTTATCTTTGAAGGAGTCATTCGCTGCTCTCGCCATTTTAATGTCGGTAATTAAACTTTTTTTTTAAACAGATTCTGTATTAAAGAAGTCCAGGCAAGCTTCAAATGAAAAGGTTAAACGACGTTCGTCCTCCGTTGCCACTCAATCTGAGAAGCGCCTTAAAGGTAAATCTCATCTTAAGTCCTACAACGCCATTGGTTAGAAATCCAGCGCTTTTTCAAAACTTTCCACCCTTTTCTTTTTTTCCATTAAAGAACAACTTTATAAAGCCTGCATGTAACAAGCCTTTTGTTATCTTTGAAGGAGTCATTCGCTGCTCTTGCCATTTTAATCTTGGTGATTAAACTTTTTTTTTACCAGATGCCGCGTTAAACAAGTCCAGGCAAGCTTCAAAGGAAAAGGTTAAACGACGTTCGTCCTCTGTTGCCACTCAATCTGTGAAGCGCCGTAAAGGTAAATTTCATTTTAAGTCTTACAACGCCATTGGCTGGAAATCCAGCGCTTTTTCAAAACTCTCCACCATTTTTTTTTGCCATTAAAGAACAGCTGCATGAAACCTGCATATAACAAGCCTTCTGTTATCTTTGAAGGAGTCTTTCTATGCTCTTTCCATTTTAATCTTGGTGATTAAACTTTTTTTTTACCAGATGCCGCGGTAAACAAGTCCAGGCAAGCCTTAAATGAAAAGGTTAAACGACGTTCGTCCTCTGTTGCCACTCAATCTGTGAAGCGCCGTAAAGGTAAATTTCATTTTAAGTCCTACAACGCCATTGGTTAGAAATCCAGCGCTTTTTCAAAACTTTCCACCCTTTTTTTTTTTTGCTATTAAAGAACAGCTGCATGAAGCCTTCACATAACAAGCCATTTGTTATCTTTGAAGGGTCATTCGCAGTTCTTGCCTTTTTAATCTCAGTGATTAACGTCAATGTTTATTCAAAGACATGTGCGTTCAAGAACGAAGTATTTTGTTTACTTGCAGGTTCCAATCATTGTCTAATTGTGGAACACCTTGAAGGTGAATACATCAGACGCTCCAATTTAAAACCACTGCTGTGGGATAGCGACATCCAACTACCTATTGATGAAGTCTACACAAGGTTGCAAATGAAATGGAGAAAGAAGGCGTACCTTCATCTAACAGAGAAGGAGGTTCACATGTATGAAATTTTCAAGCCTGCTAGGGAGGGTGAAAAGGGCGCCAGAATGGTACTTGTAGAAGGAAACCCTGGGATTGGGAAGACTACGTTTTGCCTTAAAATTGCAAGTGATTGGGCCAAAAAAGTAGTACCAGTAGAGTTTCACTTCCCCATGTTTCAGTTGTTGTTTCTTCTGAAATGCGGTGATATTCACGAAGATACTAAAGACATAGTACAAGCCATCGATGAGCAACTTCTGAATGATGACATTAACAATAAGGAAGAATTCTTGGATTACATCAGAGATGGTAAGAATCAGGACAAGATTCTTTTAATTCTGGATGGTCTTGATGAGTTACCAGAAGCATCAGAAAAAGTCGTAGATAGGCTATTTAGAAGAAAAGTTTTCTCGCGCTGTTTTATTTTGGCCACCTCACGCGAAGAAAAAGGAATCGATGTCCGGCGGCGCTATGACTTTGATACACTTTTGCAGATTAAAGGGTTCAACTCAGAGGACGCTACAGATTACATCAGAAAGCATTTTAAAAGCGTTGATCCACAAAATTTGTCAAAAGGCGATAGGCTCATTGAAGCTGTTGAAACAAATACTCACCTAAGAGTGCTAAGGAGCAATCCGTTGAATCTACTTCTCTTGTGCGTTGTCTTTGAAGACTTTCAAGGGGAACTACCATCTAATCGCACTAAGCTTTATCAGATTATTTTTCGATGCTTGTTGAGGCGATATTGCTCCCGAAATGGCTTGAACGTTCATCGGAATGCCGACGAAGCCCTAGAGAATCAATTTAAAGAGTCCCTACTTGTGCTAGGGGAGTTAGCGTGGAATTGTCTTCGAGAAGACCGCCGTTCGTTTTCGGAAGAGGAACTGGACAAGTTAGAACATTCGAGGACCCATTTGAGAAGATTTCCAGCTATCAAATTGGGCCTTGTTTTCATGGAAGCCAGTTCAAGGCCAAGTCAGGAACCAAGACATCAGTGTCATTTTCTTCACAAAACATTTCAAGAGTTTTTAGCTGCCTTTTACCTAGCGAACCAGTTGTCAAGGAGACAACTTAACCTTACTGATCATTCTGTTTTCCGCAAAGAAAGTATGGTAGGTAGATACAAAGAAGTATTTTTCTTTTTAGCTGGCATATTAGGCAGGGAAGGAACGGTGTTTTTCAAAGAGATCGTAACGATTTTAAGAGAAGACTTCCACTGGGACTACTCGGACGCAGAGTGTCAGTTCTTAATTGAGCTTTTAAAAGAAAGTGGTGCTGCAGACGATTTAGGCAAAGTTGCCTGCTCCCGTTTTCCATTACCAAACGTTTTGAAGTTGGATCAGCTCCAGTGGTCTTTGTTGAAACTTATACGATATGTGTGCGAAGGCGCCATACTCGAAGGTGATGTGGCATCAGTGCAGCTTACTAAACTGAGCCTGTCGGACATGCAGTTTTTTAGTAAAGACAATGTGAACGATCTCCATGGAATTCTCGGAAGCAGTCAAACTCTCACAGAGCTTGTCATTGGTGATATCGAGAACATGTCCCCTGATGTTGCAGATCTGTTCGCTGAGAGTTTTTCGTCAAGCACGTCACTAAGAACAGCCACGCTAAAACTGTTTGACGTGAGTAGAGAGAGTTGCGCCAGTAATGTTAGTACCTTGTTATCGACTCTCTCGCAATTGGAATGTCTTTCGCTTGAAGTCTTTGGTGTTCTGAACAACACTGCTGCACAAGCCGTGAAAGCGTTATTCAAATCATCGCTAATTTCTCTCGTGCTTATTGTTCATGGGGATCAGAATGACTGTTTAATGTCGACTGTTAGTGAAGGACTTGCAGAAGAAACCGCGGTGGAGTCTCTTAGTCTTGTCGTTTATGGAAGAGTTAGCAACCCTGGAATCGTAGCAGTGCAGAAAGGTGTTCTGCGAAATAAAACTTTACATTCTTTAGAGTTAAAGGTTTACGGAGATATCCCAGAAGCGTGGATGGCAGCTGTTGCTACCGTACTGGCAGCCAATAAGTCATGGAAGTCTCTTATTATTCACCCAAATGTGTGTGGGAAAATTAAATATGAAGCAGGTTTGCTGCCCTATCCTATTCTAGGTGATGCTCCACTAGAGAAGTCATTAACCGTGAACGTCTGTGGTGAACTGAGCGTTCACAGCTTAAAAGCCCTTACAGAGTTTTTCAAGGAAAGTTCGCCACTATCTGGTTTGCAAATGAATGTCCAAAGTAAACAAAGCAATGAAGTCGTGGATTGTCTAGTAGACTATTTTCTGGCTAACAATTCACTGTCCTCAGACAGTATTATTAACCTTAGTGGTGAAATCAGAAGCTACGAAGGAACTGCTCTTCAGAGATTAGTTCAAGAGGGTCAAAAACATTCTGTCTCAGTGTACTTGAATGGTCTTGATGAGGATCACTTATTAAGTGGTTTTTATATTCTCCCCAATTTTTCGTCAGCGTCGGCCACGTTTTTAGTTGATGGAAAGACTGCCACATACCTTGAAGTCATCAAACTATTAAGCTCTGCGACAACATTCTCGTTCAATCTCACAGTTAATCATCACGCTGAAGACATCACGGGAGACTGGGGCAGCGGTGTGGGTCATGGTTTGGCGAACAGCAGATCACTAACTACATTCAGTCTC